ACGAAACCTCCGCTTTAATTTATTGTCTGTTGTTTGTTCTACTGGGTAAACAGCGCCCTCAGGTACCTGCTATTAGCCAGTGTGCGTCTACCAATAGATACACCACTCAGATCTGATTTTCCTGCAACCAGACTTATATAATGTGTATAAAATAGTTTGTTGAATATAAGTTATTACAATATTGTTTATTACTCGTTAAGAGATTTCTTATGTAAGAGTGCATGCAACTTGCTTATCCACACACATATCCTCCCATTTCATGTTGGTTACATGCCTCAATTGAATGTAATTTTAATCCTAATTATTACACCATCACATTGAATGCAGTGTATACTTGGAAAGGGTTTATTGACTATTTTCATATTCAAAGTGGCAAAATATACACATTTACAAATACACATGGACACCAAGAAACAATCTGAGATGAACACCAACCATGCAGTTCCCTCATAGACTTCTCACCTGCATTAGTATTTCTAGAAATGTCCATTTTGCATATTATTTTGGAATCTTTATCACAACTTGCCTGAGTTGTATTCTCTTATAATACCAATTCCAAAACGGAGACTTATGAATTGACCTCTGTGTATTTGTGTGTGTGTGTGTGCGTGTGCATGCATGCACATATGTGTGTAAGTATCTAGCCATATCTTCCACTTGGTCAAACTTCTGACATACATCAGACATAATATCATGATCAGATTCAAGATGGCTGAATGGCAGCCATTTTAACGGCAAAAATGCATTAAAATCACACATTTTCTCATTCCCTGAACCATATCTCAGTCGTGTGTAGGCAAATTCTATTCATATTTGCTACATACGTTGAACATTATGGGCCCTTGATGCACTTCTTTTTATTTTTCTGATTGGGCTCAAAATTGCTGACTGACAGCCATTTTGTTTTAAAGAATGCAGTTCTGGATCCATATATCCAACATGCCTGGCCAAATAAAGTTGAAATTTCATACATACATTATATCAAAAATATGAACATGTATTTGCTTCACGATCTGATTCAAAATGGACATTTTAACACTAAAAGTCAAAATCACACTTTTAAAAGTTTTTTTAGAACCTGATCTCAGTTGTGCATGGATTCTGTTCAAACTTCGTACTTAATGTGGTCTACATGTAGTTCCACTCCAATTTATTTTTTTGGATTAGGTTCAATATGGCCGACTAATAGCTATTTTGTTTTAAAGAATGTACTTCCAGTTCCATATATTCCACATACCTGGGCCAATCAAGTTCAAACTTCATATGTATATCAGACAAAAACACATGTATTTTTGTCACGATTCAATCCAAAATGACTGACTGGCGGTCATCTTGTCATAATTGATACATAATATATCACCATGTGTTTACTCATTTGTACTGAAGAATATGAAAAAAAATTGTGAAAAACACAGCGTATGCCCTTTAAAGTACATGGTTTTCATGTAACCATCCTTTGTGACAAAATGAATAATTTACCAAATATTCAAATATTGAATATTTCTAGTGATGATAATTTAATACTATTTACTATTTTCATTATATTCATTGATGTGATCTGTGTGTTTATTAGTCCCCGTTCGGACGAAGTCCGAAAAACGGGGACTTATAATTCGGTCTCCGTCCGTCTGTGCGTCCGTGCGTCCGTCCGGAGTCATATCTCGGAGTCCCTTGGACCGATTCCGTTCATTCTTTGCATGTGCCTAGTACTTTATGTGGGACATATGCACATGCAGTGGTTTAGCGATTCGATTCAAAATGGCCGACTGGCAGCCATCTTGTTTTTTGAAAATGTTGTATTTTGGACGTGCTTTGTCAGTTGTCATTCAAACTTTGGTACATAGATTATACATGTTAGGATACATGTCCATGATGGATCAAAGATGGTCGACTGGCAGGCATCTTGTTTTTGTTTTTTTATGCGGTATCTTGGATGTGCTCTGTCAGTTTTCATTTGGCACATACATGTACTTTATACATGTTAGGATGCATATCCATGACAATTTGTTTCAAAATCTGGTCAAGGATGGCCGATTGACAGCCATCTGACTTTTTGGCCTTACTACTATATTTCCACAATTTATGTACCATTTTCATTCGTATTTGGCACATACATCATACATATCAGTGTGTTTCATAATCAGATCAAAGATGGCTGAATAACGGCTGTTTTTATTTTGGCCATATTACTATGACACGAAACACGTGTTTTGATGTAAATAAACAATCTGTTGTATACGCCACTTGGAACTCAAGTTTCAAGGACACGCTCGCGACAACCCCTCCGCTTTAATATGACGAGCACAAAGAGAACTTAACAAGGACTGTGTCATTTTCAATGACTTGTTCTATTTTTAACTTTCAACTTCCATTCCAATCTCATCTGTTTCCTTTATCATAACAACCGGTATATCAAAGTTACTCATCTTTCGAATTATATATTGGGAAAACCTTGTCATGTCTACTATATTATTGGCTAAATTTATTAAGATTGTATCACTTTCAGCTGAAAACCAATATATGACAAATAAGAGTGTTTTATTAAAGAATCTTTTTTCTCTTCTTCAGCTATGGAATTGTGATGTGGGAAATTGCCACATTGAAGGAACCATTTGAAGGTAAGAACAAATCTCTTGGTGCAGTCATCATTGTTGTTTTGTGCCTATGGCTAGAAGTGTGCGAGTATCATACCTGGGAATGGCTCTTAATTTAATTTAAATTATAATTAAAACCTAGCACTAAATTTTATTTAATTTCAATTTGGATTCAACATAGCAGTGTGAATAAACCAAAAATGGTATTTATGTTATTACTGGTCATTAATTTGACCATAGATACACCTCTGTCATTTGCATATTAAAGAACATGTGCTAGTGGCATAGCATATATAGCATTGGGAGAGGGAAATGATTGCGAATCTCACTCTAATGATACAGTCACCCTGGAGTGTGTGTGTGCCACTGACTCCATGAGAAGTGTGTGTATTAGATAGATACAAACAATTCTCACAATGCCTATAAAGATATTTTTATCTTCAGTTAAAAACTCTGCATCTTGTCGACTAGATAGTATCGGCTGTAGGATATATACATTGGCTTACTTCAAATTTGTAATTTAAATCATATAGATATTTGGAGGGTAATTATAATTATTCTATTTTTGAACTATGTTGTATACATGGTACATTAGTTGAGAATAATTGGGAAAAAAATATATCGTGTAATACTGAAATAGTAAATCATCTAGTGATGTATTCATGGAAATATGTAAACTACATGTCTTTATGATAGCATGGTTGTCTAGGTGAAATATTTGGATGTCGAGTTTAGTCGGAATTGTGGTCCAATTACTCTGAAAGACATAGGTCTAATATAATCATAAACATTCAGAATCATCTAGAATTAATAATCACAAATAATGTATACAAGTTCATGATACCAAAAACAATCATAGCTGAACCAATACCACAGCAACTATAACAATAATACTGCTTTATTTTCAGGGAAGACAGATTCTGGTGTGCAGAAATATGTCTGTGAAGAAAAGAAAAAAGAAGGAATTGAAGATCCAAAGTGCCCAGTTGAATTTGCTGATCTGATTGATAAATGCAGATCATACGATGCATTTGTAAGACCAACTTTTGACGGTATGTTTGTTAATTGGTTGCTCAAGCAGTTTTAAAAAGAACACCAGTCACTTGCACCCAAATTGAATGCTCAATTGGCCAAGATATGTTATTCATTTGGCCAAATATGAATCATCATTGGCAAGTTTAAATTTAAACATAAATCACTTGTACCAAGTTATCTTATCCTTTTAACCAAACATGAAATTTAAACAATGCACAAAACATCCAATCAGCCGAATCATGGTGTGTGGGGCTATCCATGAATCTCCAAACAAGGGACACGCATAAATCAATTGACCAATGTAATCTATTTGGCAACAATAGGAGTGTAAACAATGCAAAGAATCTCTTGCATCTACAATTATTTTTTTTATTCTCCATAGTATAGATGAGAAGGCATTAAATGTACTAAGGTGTTAAATGTGTAACATTTTCGTTTGTTTTCAGTAATTGTGGACGAGTTGACAAAGATACTGACAACGTACAACTAAGAATCTTGCAAGTGTTGAAATTATTTCAGAAGATATTATGGTGTGAAGATAAAAGAGGCTGTGAAGACATTTTTTTATTTTTTTTATTTATGCTATAATAGAAACTACCTCCTTGACAGCTTTATGTTGAATGACAAGACATTATGGTGTGAATGTTACTTGATAAGTAAGCTGTTAAGATATTTTTGTTTATCTGACAATCAGTGTTTAACAACATAAGATTAACTAACAACAGCGAGTGGTGATAGAGATTTTGTGAAGAATGCATAAATTAAGCAAATATTACCACTCAATATCTGACCATTAAGTCTGTGCTGTTGAATCACTATCTTGATTTCCCATCAGCCTTTACTGCTATTGTAGCAATTTTATTCGTCATCACATTCCTGATACTACTATTTAAGTAGTACAGAAGTCAATTGTTGCTAGGGTAAACAAATATAATGTGAGTGAAATTGTATGGTTTCAAATATTGAATTTAGCACACTGCCAGAATAACAAGTGTACAAAAATGAATAAGCACGACTCGTTCATCATCAGTGGAATTGTGAAGATAATTTTACATAAATTCAATTCAATTCTAACATATTAGTTTTGAAAGAGTGGAACATATAGTTAAAGTAAATAATGTATAATTCAATTTAAGTTAGGAAGCCATTAGATTTCGTCTAGGCATATTCACTAAGTTTAAAATTGACTGGATTGTGATAGGAGCAATACATTAAGTATTTCATGCATCTAATTTTAGCTTATCTCATTCAGTAAAATATGAAATTGCAAATAATTATCTATCATGTAAATGATTATAAAAATTAAGCAAGTTAATATTGATGGATGTGATACAAATGTACCAAAGTGCCCTCAGATTCTATTAGAAGTACTCTTTCAAAAATTTTCATTAGCTAATAACCCTTCATTCATTTTTCTTAAAATAACATTTTTTAGCTCCGCTGTCGACTTTGTCGAGCGGAGCTTATCATATGAGTGATTGTCCGTCGTCGTCCGTGTCAATGTTTTACTTTTTCGACTTCTTGAAAACTACAAGCCTGAATGCTTTGATACTTGGTGTATATGTACCTTGGGTAGACCTCTCT